TACAGCGAGGGAGGGATAGGAAAACCTCTCCCTCTGTAACAACAAGCCCCGTGCCGAGGGTACCAACACCCAAGCGGGGTCAAACAGGGCCCAAGCACCCCAAGTCAACTCCTCCCCAGCCCCGGGAACCTCGACGTCAGGACCCGGGGCCGAGCTGTCCTCCAAACCCTCTGCCTCTGGAGAAAAGGCAGAGTCCGCCGGAAAAGCCGGGATGAAGGGGGCCCGCTGGCACGGCCCAAGGGCTCCAGCAGGAACAGGCTCAAATGCCTCCACCGCCGATCCGGAAGAGCATTCCCCAAAGCCACCCGAGACTCACCACCAGGCAAACCTTGTCCCGGCTCTGAAACCCTCAGACGTTTGGGAGCCGGAAGCAGGGGGAGGGGAGGAGCAGGATGAACCACAACAGGGGAAGGACTAAGGAGAGCAAATGAAACCAAAGTCGAGGAGACTAACACCCCAAGTCCGGGTCCCTATAACCAAAGTGGGGCAGCTGCGGGGCATCCGGAAAGGCAACCAACCTTGTGCGTTGCAGCAACCTAAACCTTGCATGCAATGCAGAAGCTGCTTGCACCCTAATAACAATCTCAGTGGACTGGGTGAATTGGGGGTATAAACAAGGAACACCACTCGAAGGACTTCGGGTCAAAGGTGTCATTGACCCAACAAGCAGCATGGCGAAGACAAAGACGGTGAGTGTCACCCTGAGTCAAGGGGGCAGAGCAACCTTCAAACTCGCACAAAGCGAGGTGGAACTCTGGGGTTTCTTCCATTGGACCACTGAGCCCCCAAGGGGGTTTCCAGGGCCCTTAGGCTAACTGCTAAGGGAAGCCCAGGCGAGGTACTGCTAACCGGTTATCCCATAGCTACCAAGCAAACAAACTAAAAGCTGAACTCCTGCGACGTGTACAAGCACGGGGACCTAGTGGAGGGCCACCAAAATCATATAAGTGGTCCTACCGCAACACCTGGCAGACCCCCGCCGGGCAAAACAAAACAAAATAAAAGAAAAACCCTGCAAAAGCACAACGTCTCCAAGTGAACAGAACCGGTCACTATGCGTATATCACACAGCTGCACAGTACCTCACACCCCTGCCAGCGACAAAACTACCTCCTACACAAGGGAAAATAGGAGCAAGAACCACCCCAGCAGAACCCCCAAGGGCGGGCAATCACCACACAGCAACAGAACCACACGGAGGTAGTTCCCGAACAGTTCTGAGAAGATAACCCTGAAGCCGCAAGGGCAGTACTTACTGGACACCTAGGGAAGGCGGCCCTAGGTGCATGCAGCCCCAGTACTCTTGTATTACTTCTGGCTCGCATGATACCAAAAATGAACCCCGCCACCGCACTGCAGCACTGCTCAAAAGATGGAGCCAGAGTCGATCGACCGTTCGCCCTCACAACAGCCTGTGAACTGAGAAGAGTTGCTGTTGCGGAGGTCTGGGACCCCTCCGTCCCCCTCCCGGGGAGGGGGGGATTGCGCAGACGGATGCACAGCGTTTGTGGTGACATCATACTGGTTTCCTTGGTTTTGATTGGAGAGTTCTGTTGCTAGTTCGGCTTTCGGTTTGCAATTAATCAGCAGTAGTTTGTTTTGGAATTCCTACCTTTCTGGGTGCCTGACTTGGTAGATGGCAGGCAAAGACGACTTCCAATTACACGGGGGTGTCTTTAGGCCATTGCTCCTCATGCCTCTCTTGAGGGGGCCAGGTTCTGGCTCTGGTTCCTGGTAAGCGTAGAACTCCTTCGATTGACTGTTGCCATGGTCTAATATATACACATCAGCCCGGTATAGCTCCGAGGAGCCGAAGGGGCTCTCTACAGAAAGGGACGTTGACAGAACAGTCGCCAGACGAGGTTTAATCCGCCTGAGTTTTCAGGCGGCAGTTGCCACAAAGAAATTATTACCTAATTATTTAATGTTTCTGATTGATTTTTTCTCTTTTTTTTCAGTAATATTATTCAATAGTGTGTATTGTGATATATTTATATAATAAATATTTCGTTTCTCGTTTCTAAATACTCGTTTCTGCCCGAAACGCTGCTCGTGCTAGTGGCTTTACAAGACTGTAATTACCATATTTGTATCCTCACATTCCTTATGTACATTCTTGTATATGCATAAATAAATAAATAAATAAATAAATAAATAAATAAAAAATGTGAACCATCGCTGTACTCAAAATTATAGTGTGCATATTAGTGATTCAATTATTATGTTCATAAAACAATATGAACAAAGGATCCCTCCAAACCCTCCAAAGGATACCTGATCAACCAGGCTGTGACTCATACGTCAGGCTGCAAGCAGCCGCGTCCAACAGCCTGGTTGATCAGTCCGGCAACCAGGAGGCCTGGTCGACGACCGGGCCGCGGGGACGCTAAGCCCCGGAAGCACCTCAAGGTAACCTCAAGGTATAAACAAATAGTTTTGCTGTTATTACACTATATACACAGGTTATATATAAGTATCTGCATGTTTTGTAATCATAACGAACTACTAAGTTGGTATTGTAAGTCAAAATGCAACGAGGAGTAACCGCCACACACCAGCCAGCCACTCGCTGCCACTCCCTCTCTCAACTACACCTCACTCGCCTTCATTCTCCTCCCACTATACTGTATTTGCCTTTATTCACTATACACAAATGTTATATATAAGCATTTACATGTTTTGTTCACCATAACTACATCTAAGCTTGTATGGTGAGTAAAGGCACAAAGACGTAGCTACTCTTTTGAAAAAGATATTGCAGACAAATGTAAAACAGAACCAGGTCTATTCTATAAATTCATAAACAACAAATTGCAGGTAAAGGATGATATACAGAGGTTGAAAATGGGAAATAGATTCACGGAAAATGAAAAGGAAATGTGTGAAACATTAAACGAAAAGTTCCAAAGTGTGTTTGTACAAAATGAAATCTTCAGGGAACCAGATACAATAAGAATTCCAGAGAACAACATAGAGCACATAGAGGTGTCTAGAGACGAAGTGGAAAAAATGCTCAAGGAGCTAAATAAGAACAAGGCAATTGGTCCAGATGGAGTTTCACCATGGGTTCTGAGAGAATGTGCACCTGAGCTCAGCATTCCACTTCAACTGATTTTTCAGGCATCCCTGTTTACAGGAGTTGTAGCTGATGTGTGGAAACAGGCTAACATAGTTCCAATCTACAAAAGTGGAAGCAGGGAAGACCCCCTTAATTATAGACTGGTATCATTGACAAGTGTAATAGTCAAAATATTGGAAAAAATAATTAAAACTAAATGGGTAGAACACCTGGAGAGAAATGATATAATATCAGACAGACAGTATGGTTTTTGATCTGGAAGATCCTGTGTATCGAATTTACTCAGTTTCTATGATCGAGCAACAGAGATATTACAGGAAAGAGATGGTTGGGTTGACTGCATCTATCTGGACCTAAAAAAGGCTTTTGACAGAGTTCCACATAAGAGGTTGTTCTGGAAACTGGAAAATATTGGAGGGGCGATAGGTACACTTCTAACATGGATGAAAAATTTTCTGACTGATAGAAAAATGAGGGCAGTGATCAGAGGCAATGTATCGGAATGGAGAAATGTCATAAGTGGAGTACCACAGGGTTCAGTTCTTGCACCAGTGATGTTTATTGTCTACATAAATGATCTACCAGGTGGTATACAGAATTATATGAACATGTTTGCTGATGATGCAAAGATAATAGGAAGGATAAGAAATTTAGATGATTGTCATGCCCTTCAAGATGACCTGGACAAAATAAGTCTGCATGCTAGACAAGTCTGCATGACTTGTCTAGCATGTAGAGGGTGGCCATTATGCTCTTTGGGCACCTACAAGCTTAGGTGCACAGTTAAGGTGCATACAACATGTAGATACTTATATGTAATGTGTGTATATAGTGTAATAACACTACAAACAGTATTGTTGGGGAGAAATTTTAGTGCGTGTGACCTTGAATGAGTGAGGGAGGCAGCCGCCAGCTAACTGTGTGTAGCGACGTCTCAGTGCCTGAACTAACTATATGAGCTTAGTTGTACAGTTGTGGTGAACAAAACATATAGATACTTGTATATAACGTCTGTATATAGTGTAATAACACCACAAATGGTATTGTTAGGGGAGAAATTTTAATGCGTGTGACCTTGAATGAGTGAGGGAGGTAGCTGCCAGCTGACTTTGTGTAGCGACGTCTCTTAGTGCCTGAACTCAGTTGCGGTGAACAAAACATGTAGGTACTTATATATAACTTCTGTATATAGTGAATAAAATAAAAAAACAGGATGGTGGGAGGAGAAAGTGGGCGAGAGAGGCGTTGTTGAGAGAGTGGCAACGAGTGGCTGGCTGGTGTGTGGCGGTCACTCCTCGTTGCTTTTCGACTCATAATACCAACTGAGTGGTTCGTTATGGTGAACAAAACATGCAGATACTTATAAATAACCTGTGTATAGAGTGTAATACCAGCAAAACTATTTGTTTATTGTTGTATGAACATAATAATTGAATCACTAATATGCACACCATACTTTTGAGTATTGCGATGATTCACTCCTTTTATTATATAAATCTATCACTCTACACACTATTGAATAATATTACTGCAAAAAAAATAAGAAAAAATCAATCAGAAACATTGAAATAATTAGGTAATAATATCTTTGTTGCAACTCCCACCTGTCATCTCGGGTGACGCTGACTGCTACTGACGACCGCTCTGTTAACGCCCACATTTTGCCAGGCTTCCTCGGTCTATCGTGGCCAAAATATGCCACCTACGAATTTTTTTTTCCGTGCTCAGGGAACACAAATTAACATTTTTAGAAGATGAAATAATTTTTTAGAATTTTTTTTTTCTTGCACACAGAGGTGTAAATCTCCTCAGGACCCTTTAGCAGCGGAAGGGTTAACGCATATATTTCTATTCTAAGTTTCTGTTTTCTTAATATTAAGACAAAGACAATATAAACTGTCACCACAACATTATAGCTTACCTGTCTGCAATCTCCAGCATATTGAAGAACAAGTATAACTTTATTGTTGACTGTGTTTTGATAATGTGGTAGCAGACAGAAGTGTCGATGTAGCCCATCAAATAGCAACATACTAATACCATTACTCCTTTCAACAAGTCTACAATTTCTGCAGGTTTAAGAATTCTTCTGTTTTTGCTGAAGTATAATCTGTTTAGGAAATTTCCAGAAATAGACAATGTATAAAATTTACATATCACTGATTTTATTCATAATTTTTTGCTGATACGTATAAAGATTGGCAAGCAAAATAAGAAGATATATAATACTGTACTTTGAGGCAAATTTTAGAACTAGCTACATCATTATATGAAGAAAAAACAGTATACAGTATTTAAAATATCCTTGTTTTATAATATTAGTACATTTACTCTACAGTAAGTATACCAGTTTTACAGTAACCAATAAAATACATACCCTAATAACTTTCTGATAGGACGTGTCAAGAGGGACCATATGGCGAGGGCAAATCTTATTGGTAAAAAGGTGAAGACAAAAAAGAAGGAGTCAGCACACTGGAAGAACCCATAGGCAACAAACTTCTCAATCTGAAATAAGAAATTAGATTATTCCCTTGTTATAAAAGTAACTACTGTTAACTCAGTACTACAGTACTACAAATAAATATATGCACAGAGGCACAAGCAGTCTTTCTCACTTAGAAACTGCTGCAAGTGGAGTACCCCAGAGTTCTGTTCTGGTCCCTCTTTTGTTTAACATACTGAATGTATGAACGATTTAGACACAGAATTGAATAATAACATTTGCAAATTTACAGATACAAAAATAGGGCAGGAAATAAATTCAGAAGGCACAAAATCTCTATAATGCAATTTTGAAAACTTCTATTTCTACCGTGGAAGGTAAATGTGCATAAAAACAATACTGAAAGGTCTGGCTGATACTCTACTCAACACGAATACATACTGAAAAAATAGGCTGATACCACTATGTCAGCACAGCTTCAGCTGTGATGATATAACCTTGTGTCCTTCTCTCATTCATTGTCGATGGTTTTAGTTCCCTTCATCTATCCTCACAGTAAATCTCTTATCTGTTATACCTGTCTATCTGTCTTGTAGCAAATCATTGTATCTTCTCGATTATCTTTTTGTGCTCTACCCGGTGTTGGTTCCTTGTTGGAGCTACATATTCACTATTTCAAAGTTTATAGTGTGATAAATAAGTGTCATTTAATAAATTTCCAAGTTTGCTTCTATTGACCCAAAAAGAACATGCACAAATCTAGGTTACCACCTATCACCTCAATCCCAAACATTCAATGACAAAAATTATTGCTGAAGATCAGTATTTATTCTGTGCTACATGGGTCTTGGGCAAGAAAACCTCAACTTTGTCCAGAATGGACAAATGTGAATACTAGATGTTCCCTGCATATATAGAATTTGGAAAAGCAAATGCTGTAAATAAAGAGATCGTAAAATGTGAGTCACAGAATGTTATACAGTATTGTCATTTCCATAAACAATTGCATGATGTCATTATTGCAACGTTCATTAAAATATCTGAACCAGATAACTGTATATCCCATTCCAAATTTCAAAAAAATTAATTCTATCCATTCCTCAAAATTTTTAAAGTATAACTAGTCATACATTCAGTACGCTTACCTCCCGAGGAATCTTAAAGAAAGTGTAAACTTTCTCTCTGCGAGCAGTGTATCTCTCTTCATCATTTTCAAGCAAGTAACCCCGACGCAGTTCTGACTTGATATAGTCTCTAAAAGACAATCCTGAAATTTTGGAAACAACTGAATGAAATAGCTTCACTTATGATTAATAGAAGACCAATTCATCATCATTAGAATCTCTTGCCTGGTGAAAGTGATGTGCACTGAATCAACATTTTAAATAACTTAAAAAATATTTTTATTACAATATAAAACATATGTTAATGTATGATAATTACAGGCATACCTCAGTTTAAGAGTTTAATTGGTTCCTGGAGACGCCTCGTATTCCGAAAACTCGTATTCCGAAGCTAATTTCCCCAAAAGAAATAAAGGGAAATGAATTAATCCGTTCCTGACTACCCCAAAAGCCCCACATCAAACTAAATTTTTATACCTAATTCATCTAAATAAACCTACAAAACTATGTTCAAGTTATTACTTACCTTGCTGTTGAATGCTGTAGGCGTATGGAAGATGGTGAGGAGGGGGGAGGAGGAGAGGAGTTACTGTTTGGAAGGGGAGTCCCCTTCCATTATCACATCAGGCAGTGAAGACCTTTCTGGTGTGCTCTCCCTGGGACGTTTTATCTGAGTGCCACGAGGTCCTGGTTGACGCTCACTGCTCGATTTTCTCACCACAAATCTGTCCAAACCCTGGCTTTCTCACAAATAATGGCCTCCGAAACACTGTCACCCCTTAACTCCTTGTCGTGTATCCAAATTAATAACAACTTTTCCACTTCTTCAAGTATTTGTGGTCTTTGTTTCGTTATTGTTCTGACTCCTTTTGCCACTTTAGCACTCATAATCTCATTTTTCTTCTTAAGTATAGTGCATATTGTTGATGTGGCTTTGTTGTACTGCCTACAAAGTTCAACAACACGTGTACCGTTCTCATGCTTCCGAATGATCTCTTGTTTCTCCTCTATTGTCATCCTCACATGGGCTTTCTGGCCTTTATTCTTACCACTGGCTTTCTTGGGACCCATGGCGAGATATATAATAACAAATTGTATAGTCAAATCACCAAAAATCCAAAAAAACACTGAAAATCCGCGAGAAGAATTGATGTGAGGTAGTCACTGGGTGCGAGACAATGGTAAACTGAGGGGCGGAAGGGTGGAGGGGCGACGATCGCCGAACCACCACGCGCTGGGTCGGCCTGTACACGTATCAACAAACTCGTGTCCCGAGGTAACCCTCGCATTCCGAGACATATTTTTTGAGGAAATCCTGCTCGTATTCCGAAAAACTCGCATACAGGGACACTCGCATTCCGAGGTACCACTGTATAGTACAATATTTGTTAAATATTTTTAATCTCCTATGGAAACATAGGAGACTGGTAAGCTGTAATGGGCCTATTGGCTCATAATTCTTATTATTATTGACTTATTATTATTATAAATGAGGTGCTTCACCTTCACCTCATCTACAGTTATATATCTGGCAGCACAAAATCTTGTAACCCTACAAACTCTGCCTTTTATAATGTCGACAAGGGTCAATGAAATGCATCTCTTAGTGTCAAGCCTTAACCCTTGTGTTGCTAATGGATATTTGCCCCTTGTCACCCACAGGCACATAACAAAAAAAAATATATATTTTTTTCCTAACCTGTTAATTTGTGTTCCCTTACCACAAGAAAAAAAAAACAGCATTGAATGTAATGAAACGCCATTTTCTGGGTGAGCCCCGGAGGCTCCCTGGAGCTTATTGGGCTAATGTATGTTATATTAGACCGGGACATTAGCTAAGAAGTTCAGACCTACCAGAGACCAGCGCCAGAACTTGGCCCCTTCAGAGAGGTTTCAGGGAGCAATGGCCCTGGAAAACCCCCCTTGTGGTTGGGGTTTTCCTTATCTGCCATCGACCGGGGTTAGACACACAGAAAAATAGGCAATACAAAACAGACCCCACCTAGTAAAAAAATAAAACAAAAAAATGAACAGAGAGGTAGAAACTCCCTACAATCCCAAGGAAACAAGCAAACATCACACTTTACTGCTGCGCCGATCGTCCGTGCAGCCCTCCCCGTCCCGATAGGGGGAGGGGGGAGCCTCGGACCTACTGCGCCAGCTGCTTAGCTTTAGTTCAGAAGCTAAGCTTCAACCAACGCGAAAAAACCGCCAACCGGTGGGAGGGAGGGTTGCCCGGGAGCCTCCAGGGCTCACCCAGAAAATGGCGTTTCATTACATTCAACGCTGGTTTTCTGTGGGGAGCCCCCTACGGCTCCCTGGAGCTTCATACCCAAAGAGAAGGAAAAGAAAGGGCTAACCCGGGAGGCGGCTGCCACAAACTCCGCAACGCGAAGCTGAGATAACAGGCTGCAACCTGCGACCCAAGGCAACAAGAATGCACAGGAGCAGATGCGCATAAAGAATGGGCAGCCAAGAACCTGTGTGACCCTCAAATCCCAGCGCCCGAAATGAGCCTTAGACGTCACCAAAACAGCAGCAAAAGCTGCAAACGTCCGAACAGCATGGGCGCAAGGACAGACTGCAGGCTGGAAGACTGAAAAACTCTGCGGACAACCTGGGAGACCTGAGCCCTGAAACAGGGAACGAGGGGAACCGGATCAACCCAAAGCGCATCCCCAGACACGGTACGCAGGTAATGGCAAAAACGCAACCGGACAACACAGGACGCACCCCCGGCCAAACCAATCAAGCTTCAATAACCCAAGAACCCCCTCTGGAAAGCAGCCGTCTGGACTGTCGCCAGGACGGAGAAAGGCTACAAACGTACAAACCTACCACCAGTACCAAAGAGCAGAAACCTGAAAAGAAGGGGCTACCACAAACTGAGGAGAAGATAAAAAGGCTCCAATTGTGAATTGTGTGTAGTTCTTATCCATGTCAGAGTCATAAAAATCACTTTCCTCACCATCAGAAAATAATTCACTAGTTATTTGCTCTTGAGTACGTGATTGCGTGGTGCACGCTTGGGAGGCCGTGCTTTCTCCATACCTGCTTGATGGGGTTCTGGGAGTTCTTCTACTCTCTGGCCCGAGGCCAGGCTTGACTTGTGAGAGCTTGGTCCACCAGGCTGTTGCTTGGAGCAGCCCGCAGGCCCACATACCCACCACAGCCTAGTTGGTCCAGAACTTTTTTTTAGAAAACAGTCTAATTTTCTATTGAAGATGTCCACGGTTGTTCCGGCAATATTTCTTATAATCGCTGGGAGGACGTTGAACAACCGCGGACCTCTGATGTTTATACAGTGTTCTCTGATTGTGCCTATGGCACCTCTGCTCTTCACTGGTTCTATTCTGCATTTTCTTCCATATCGTTCACTCCAGTACGTTGTTATTTTACTGCGTAGATTGGGGACCTGGCCTTCCAGTATTTTCCATGTGTATATTATTTGGTATCTCTATTGCCTCCTTTCTAATGAGTACATCTGGAGAGCTTTTAGATGATCCCAATAATTTAGGTGCTTTAACGCGTCTATGCGTACCGTATATGTTCTCTGTATTCCCTCTATTTCAGCAATCTCTCCTGCTCTGAAGGGGGAAGTGAGTACTGAGCAGCACAGTACTCGAGATGGGACAACACAAGTGACTTGAAAAGTACAACCATCGTGATGGGATCCCTGGATTTGAAAGTTCTCAAATCCATCCTATCATTTTTCTGGCTGACACAATATTTGCTTGGTTATGCTCCCTAAACGTTAGATCGTCAGACATCATTTTTCCCAAATCCTTGACATGCTGTTTACTTATTATGCGCAGATTTGATTGTATTTTGTACCCTGTATTATGTTTCAGGTCCTCATTTTTGCCGTACCCGAGTACCTGGAATTTATCACTGTTAAACTTCATGTTATTTTTTGCTGCCCAATCGAAACCTTTGTTGATATCTGGTTGTAATTTATCCATGTCTTCTGCAGAGGTAATTTACATGCTGAGTTTTGGGTCATCTGCAAAGGATGACATGAAGCTGTGACTTGTATTTTTATCTATATCTGATATGAGAATAAGGAACAGCAGTGGTGCAAGGACTGTACCTTGAGATACAGAGCTTTTAACTGCACTTGGACTTGATTTGATTTGATTGACTGTTACTCTTTGTGTTCTGTTCAACAGGAAATTGAGTATCCAGCATCCTACTTTACCAGTTATTCCCATTGACCTCATTTTGTGTGCAATCACTCCATGATCACACTTGTCGAAAACCTTTGCAAAGTTTGTGTATACTACATCTGCATTTTGCTTTTCTTCTAGAGCTTCTGTGATTTTGTCATAGTGGTTGAGTAACTGTGACAGACAGGATCTTCCCGCTCTAAATCCATGTTGTCCTGGGTTGTGTAACTCAGTATTTTCCATGAAACTAGAAATTTGATTCCTAATCACTCTTTCAAAAACTTTTATTATGTGTGAAGTTAGTGCAACTGGTCTATAATTTTTTGCCAAGACTTTACTCCCCCCTTGTGCAAAAGAGCTATATCTGCAGATTTAAGTGCTGCTGGTATCTCCCCTGTATCCAGGCTCTTTCTCCATATTACACTGAGTGCTCGCGCTACTGGTACTTTGCATTTCTTTATGAATATTGAATTCCATGAGTCAGGCCCAGGAGCTGAGTGCATGGGCATATTGTCAATTTCTCTTTCAAAGTTTTTCGAGTTCATGTTAATATCCGTTATATTATCTGCAGCTTGAATGTCATTCATAAAGAGGCTGTCTGGGTCATCAACTTTCATGTTGTTTATTGGTGTGCTAAACATAGCCTCATATTGGCTTCTTAGAATTTCACTAATTTCTTTGTTGTTCTCTGTGCACGTACATTCAATTGTAATTAAAGGTCCAATACTGATGGAGGTTTTTGATTTTGATTTTGCATATGTGAAAAATATTTTGGATTTTTCTTTATCTCTTGTATAGCCTTCTGTTCCAATTCCATTTCCTCAGCCTCGTAAGATCGCTTCAACCTTTGTTCTATTTCTTCGATCTCCCTGTTTAGGTTTATTTTCCTCGCTTGTGATAATCGTGCCTGCCGATTTAATCGTGCCATTTCCGTTATTTTTTTCCTTCTCCTGTACAGTCGTTTGCATTCTCTTTCT